TATGGAATATAATCAGTCATGGAAATATGTATTACATGCTAAAAGAACAATTTTGGAGAAATTTGTTCTTCAAAAAATGAATTATGTGGAAGTCAAGTCTTCCCGAGTAACTCTTTGCGTGAAACTAACTTTTGTGAAAATTTGGACATAGTTATATATACTTATTTTCAACTATACATTCACACAACAAAATATTATGCGCATAAAACCAATTTTTTTTCTACTTTTTAATCACAAATTCTCCTAAAAATCATTATTCAAAAATATATTTTCCTCAAATAATGAGTGTCAAGCAGAGGCTAAAATACATCAGTAAATGTTTGTTAGATAAAATTTAGTTTTTTATTATATTTAGTCCTTTTTTGAGTCCATTTTTTTTTCATAAACCCATTTATCTTTAAACTTATTTTCAATTATACATTATTTCAATGAAAATAATTTTACTCATAAATTCATGTTTTTTCTACTTTTAACCATAAATTCTACAAAAAATTCCTATTACAAAATCTATTTTCTAAAAAATGAGGTTCAAACAAACCCTTAATATTTCAATCTTTTGACGCCTCATTGATTTGAGTGACTTTGTATCGTAATTGAGGCTCATGAATAGATGTGTATGAAGTTTTCTACCCCATTGTGCACCCTAAGAGGAATTGTGGCCAATGAATAGATGTTTATGAGGACCACATGTTGTAGCCCATTGTGCACGCTACGAGAAGAATAGAGAAAAAATTAATTGAATAATAATTTCATTTATATGAAATAAGTTACGTTACATGTGATGAGGCGCAGAATAAGGAATTCAAACGAAAATCTTAAGAAAACGAATTTTAGAATCCACCAAATTATGAAAAAATTAAACTCACAAATTTTATTAATGTAAGATGATCAAAAATAATGAGATAGCCCTTTATTTATAAAAGTTTACATGAAAACCTAGTTTGATAGGACTAAAATTTAAAAAGAATTTGAAATAAACTAAATGACAAAAATAGTGCTAAAACTTTAAACAACAGTTTTCGAGTCCTAAATGAACTCGGATGCCTAAAATCCATCGTATGTGATGGCATAGCAATGAATGTTACTCATATCGTCGACAGTACCAGAATTTGAGATAGTGAATGAAATTCAAAGCAGAGAGAGTTTGCAATGAAAATGATGTAAATTTTCTGGCACTAGGGCAAACTAGAGATTCATTTGTGACCATTCGAACACCCTTCAAACATTTTCAAAACAATCATCATTGTTCAGACAACACTCCACAACCCGAACAGATAGCTCTGTTCAGACTGAAACATGCATCAGATAAGTCGGTTAACAAACGTATGTTAAGTCGGTTAACATACGACCCATGAAATAAAAATTATCGTTTAAACTTTTTCATAAATTCTTGTGCTATATTTATTTTAAAAAAATTAATTCGTATTGAATGATGTCATATAAATCATATATTAGAATATTTCACTTGAACTTTTTCTCAGATTAATATCAGAATACCAGTGAATTAGTCTCTTAATCGACAATAATTATATGTAAGATTCAACTAAGTAACCGAAATTTTCAATGTGAATGCTTCATTGATTTGAGTGACACTTTGTTGTAATTGAGGCCCCATGATAGATGTTTATGAAGACCACATGTTATAGCCCATTATGCACGCTATAAGAAATTGTAGTAAAGTCTACTTCATTGTGGGACATACATCTTCATATATAATTTGATTGCTTGAGCACACAATACTTCAATCCTCTTTAATTACTATAAACATTATATCAGAGAAAATGATGGATATTAACAGATTCATCAAACTATTGAGTGTGCTGATGTTTGTACTTTCACTATGCATGAAGCTCAATTCAGTATCTGCTG